ACGACAGTGTGGGGCTGAGAGGATTCGGAATTCGTCACTTATCATTTTCTTATTGATTGTACGAGTGAGAGATTTGATACGAGTTCGAACATGGAGAATTTTCCTGGGAGCCGTAGTTGGAGTTTTAAGAAGCTTGGAGTAGAGGTGCCTTGCCCGTTATTTGCGAATCGGACCTCGGAAAATATTGCGAATCGGACCTCGGAAAATAATTAGAAGATACTGTGAACGAGGATTAGCGGAAAATGCAATCATCCAGAGAATCATAAAGTCGAAGCCTATCTACTCAGACGCTTTCTGTCGGTTAATGGTTTTGTGAACACGAAATGAAGAAGCTCCCAGTTAAATGAGCGCAGCGCGATTTCGTCCCCCAAACTGTCTTCCAAACTTTTTTCTGTCTCACATCGTTCAGCGCGTTTTGTTAAAAAACTTAAACATCGAAATTTCATTGAGCTCACAATTTCCAAGTTTTGGTATCGAAAAAACCCAAATATCTGAATAAAACCAAAAATCTGTCAGATCAGGGACAAGATTACCAGAAATGTCGTGAAGAAATTTTCTGAATTTGAATTTGGGAATCGGAAATCATGAAATTTCTGATGTCGGCGGTTTCAAATGAGAAGTTTTAATGGTCCGTTTTTATTCAATGAAGACATAAATAAGCAGCATGAAGAAATGTGAAAAACACATGAAAAATTGATGGTAGCATTGCAAAGTTGATCATCAGTCCCATAAATCACCAGAACTTCAGGAAGTGTGGTCTCAATTGCGGAAAATCGATCATCAGGCAGACAATCATCACCAGCGACACCATGATATCAGAAATCAAGAAGATCAATGGGACGTAGAGTAACAGCTTTGTGACGACGACAAACTGAAAAGGTGGATTGTATGACACCCAAGTCGGGAATATTATTTTCTGACAGGGCCGCCCGAGACTGCCCGGAATTGAGCAAATTTTGAACCAGTTTGAAAAAATTCTCACCGCATACATGAGATCACTTGGCGGCCCTTCGTATTCGGCTACTTCAATTGGTTCGAAACATTTTGGAATAACAAAAATGGTAATGCTGAGAAAGAAGAATGTGAAAAGGAGGTTTTGGAAACGTCCCATCCTGAAACTTGAGACTGATTGGGGGCCGGTTATTGAAAAGTAGAATTCTATTCCGAAAGATCTGATCCAAAGAGCAAAATTTAACAAATCAGAAATGAGTTTGAAGAAAAAAGAGAAAGAGAAAAAAAGATACAGAGAAAAAATATAAATGGAATAGGCAAAAGGGACAATGCTAATAGAGCCGAGAAGGAAGAAGAGGGCATAATGGGACGATTGGGAATGGGAGAGAGGGAATATATGCAATATTCTGATCATAAAACATCGTCGTGAATGGCACTGTCGAAAATGAAAACGAGGGAAAAGTCAAACAAAAAAGATAGAGGGATTCGATCTTTATCTTTTTCTCTCTATCTTTGTTAATAATAACCTGATCATTAAAAATACCGTTCAATTCTGTGAAAGTCAAATAAAAAGCAAATCGAAGAGTAGAGCAGATATGAGGATACAGTAAGGGAGGTAGTCCAACTGGCGCGGTGGATTTCTCATGATTATACATTTGCAACGACATTGCATGCTCCGTTTCTTTCTTTTTTTTGTAAGAGACAACATCTTCCTACCATCTCATTTCCATATCTAAAGAGAAAACAATTCCATACTAAAATCGTGGGAAACGCCAGCATGGACTCACGGACGGACTCGTGATGCAAAAAAACCATTTGAATCATGGCCTTTCCGATATGATAAATCACTTTATCATCACTAGCATCAACGATTTCTATAGTAAAAAACCCATAAACAACAGGGCGCACTAGTGACTCATCGAAAATGCCATGGAAATATTTTGAATGATCAATGATCGCGCTCTTTTTCTCTGTTTCTTTTTTCCCTCTCTTTATCTGCGTCTCCTTTTCACTGCATCCATATAAAAAGCCAGAGAACGAACAAATAGTCATTCATTCTCTGTTTTGTTGGCCCTGTGTGTTTAAGGCGCCTATCGTTTGATTTTCCGGAATATTCTTTTCTGAAATATTGATTTCTTTGCGAAACGAAGAAGTGGATTGCTACGTAAGTTTGATTTGTGTCAGAATTAGTGCTCGGGGGGATTTCGCCACCATAATATATGCGAATCGATAAGTTACAAACAGTGCGTCCTTTCGACTCGACTTCGAGGAATATTTCGAAAAAATTTTGAGACGAATTCATCTTACAGTGGTGGCGTACTTTTGCAAGTTCGGATTTCTAGGCCACCACGTTAAAATGGCCTAGAAATGGCCTGACACGCACCAGGTGTGTTTTCTAGGTCATTTTGAAGTGCTAGCCTAGAAAACCAAATTCCCAAAAGTTAGGCCACTACTTCGAAATGATCTGGAAAACACTCCAGGGTCACGTTAGGGCCTTTTTAGGCGATTTTGGAGTGGTGACCTAGAAAACCAACTTCGCAAAAGTTAGGCCACTACTTAAAAATGACCTACAAAACATTCCAGGGTCGTGTTAGGGCCTTTTTAGGCAATTTTGAAGTGGTGGCCTAGAAACCAAATTTGCAAAATTTAGGCCACCATTTCAAAATGGCCTAGAAAAAACTCCAGGGTCATGTTAGGGCCTTTTTAGGCGATTTTGAAGTGGTGGCCTAGAAAACCAAATTTGCAAAAGTTAGGCCACTACTTAAAAATGACCTACAAAACATTCCAGGGTCGTGTTAGGGCCTTTTTAGGCAATTTTGAAGTGGTGGCCTAGAAAACCAAATTTGCAAAATTTAGGCCACCATTTCAAAATGACCTAGAAAAAACTCCAGGGTCATGTTAGGGCCTTTTAGGCGATTTTGAAGTGGTGGCCTAGAAAACCAACTTCGCAAAAGTTAGGCCACTACTTAAAAATGACCTAAAAAACACTCCAGGGTCGTGTTAGGGCCATTTTAGGCAATTTTGAAGTGGTGGCTTAAAAAACCAAATTTGCAAAATTTAGGCCACCAAAAGGTAACTGAATTTAAACATCTGAATTTCTGAATTTTTAAGTTTCTTGACAACAGAATGCCTGAACCAACAATTCTCTGAGTTTCTAATGTCTAAAATTTTGAACCAATCAATTTTCGAATTTCTGCATGTCCCGAGCCTTTTGAATTTTCCGATTTTCCCGGACTTTTGAGTTTCAAGAATACTAAACTTTTCCAGTTTTGGAAAGTCGGGGTTTCTGAATTCCTGAAGTTCTGAATTACCCACACACACATTACTACCTCTAATGTAAGCCTTTTCTTCTAAATCACATTGAAAATATAGGGAAGGGCTTACAATACCTGTATATTTGTTGAGAAGGCTTGCACCACTGGAGCTGAACCTCATTGCCTCCGTATCCATAATCTTATAAAGATCTTTCGTCATTCCTACTTAGGGTCTAAAAAATTGGGAATTTAGAAATTCGGAGTTTCAGAAATTTGTGATTCGGATATTCATAAAGCCAAACATTTCGGAACTCGGGAGATTAAAAATTGAAAAATGACTATTTTGAAAATAGCGAATTTGGCTTCAGTTCTCAAAATCGACCCCTTTGGTCTTATTTTTCATTTACAATACTCCGACATTCATTAAAAATCCTATTTTTATTTAGAGATTTTTTTCATTTTCATGGTATTTAGCAATCGGAATGTCGAAAGTTTTCATTCTAGGTATTGAGAAATTCCAAAAATTTTGATTTTACAAATAAAAATGTTTCAAAGCAAAACTTCAAAAACTCAGAAGGTTCGAAACACCGTAATCCAGAGTTCAGAAATTGAAATCCCATAAAATTAGACATTCGAAAATTCAGAAATATGCAAAGATATGGACTTTAAAGTTTCGGAATATCAGAGCTTTTTTAACTGAGAAAATGTTGCTCTCTGAAAAATAATTTCCAAAGTTTCCGATTCTTTCCTTTTTTCCGAAATTTTGAGTGTTTGAGATTCTGAATTCTGAGAATTTTGAGAATTAGAGAATAAGTAAACTCTGAATACAAATTCGGAATTTGAGAAGTGGAGAAAGTCGAAGCTCAGCGTTTGGTTTTGAAACTTCAGCAGTTCGAAGTTTCTTGAAATCCAACTTCTTTTCTTATCTGATTTCTACATTTTGAGAGTTCCTAAACTCCCATAGCTTTTAGTTTCTGAAACTTTATTTCCTAACCTAAATTTTAATTCCTAACCTTCTAAATTTCGAATTTTTGGGATTCAGAAAACGGCACGGAAATTTGAAAATTCAGCAATCCGGAAGTTGAAAAGTTAACAAAATTTTAGAATTCATCCATTTCAAAAAACTAAAGTTGAAAAAAAAAAACTCTCATTTTCTGTTTGAGAAATAATTCTGCTGTTTTTTTTTGAGAGAATATGATTTTCCAAGAAAAATGTTCATGAGTATGGACAGAAAGTTGGAAAATTTCGGTTCACAACACTATAGGTTCCCTATAAGCTAGAAGGACACCATGGGCATCAAGTAAATGTCCGAGACAGACGGAAACACACACACAGAAAAGTTTCCTTAGTAAGAAGTAGATTGGCCGAACGGCGAAATTTTCGGTGTCGAAATACCCACGAGAGAAAATTGAGAGTTATCAAAAAAATAATTTTAGAATCCTCAACTTTGTGATGAATCGGCATTGGGACAAGCGAGCCGCGAATTGATGGTTGGGAAAAGAGAGCCACGCCAAACTTCAACAGCCACAGAAGCGACTTCAGCTCTGGATGCCGTTTGTTTTTTTTTTATTTGTTGTCTAATGTAAAATAGTTTTTATTTTCTTTTCCAATTTTTGAAAAGCCTGTTAATTATCGTAAAACTTGTAATAGAAGGGATTCCATACTTTGAAGCTTGAGCTCAATTATCTCGGTTCCTATGCAAGATATCGAAAATGTGTCAACTGACAAAATGCTTTTGATTAAAAATAAAAATTTTATCAGTTGACAACTTTTTCACATCATCGACAGGAACCGAGGTAAATCTTAAAAATAAAAATTAGGGAGCCCTTCTATGACAAGTTTCACAGTATTTTTTCTGGCAACTCAAATTATCTTTTCATATATTTTTTTTCAAATCTTCAATAAATTTATTTAATTTATATATTGTACTTGAAGCATAGATTTTAGAAGTTCCGACTTGATATCTCAGGTATTGATCCGCGTTTCAAAACCCAAACCTGAAAATGCCGTATCTTGGCTTCCAGATGAGCTAGAAACGACATTTTCGAGAATTCAAGCGAATTTGTCTGTATTTTTATCCCGAAAAAATATTATTAAAAATATATACTAAAAAGTTTCTATTTTCTTTATTCAAACCCAATTTTTTATTGAGGCTTTCGCCCGTCTTTTGGATGAAATTCTAATTTTTCCACCAAAAAAAATCTAATAAGTTCTCAGAACTGACATACTTTTTAGCATACCTTTTTCATTCGCTCACATCTCCCTTCTTTCGGAACAGGTTATCGAAAAATACATACTTGAAAAAATCGTTAAACGCCCGGACAGAAATTTTTTTTTGACCAAAATTCTCAAAAAAAATTGTTTTTTGTGAAGTTTGTGAAAATTAAAAAAAAAACTAGTCAGCAAAAAAATTAATTTTAAAATGTTTGTTTAAGCATGGAAAATTCGATATTTACAATTCAGCTTAAGATTAGATGCTAAACACAACGTTTTTCCAAAAAAACAAGCAATTTTTCCAAAATTTCGCCGTTGCAAGTATGGAAAAATAAATGTGCTCGAAGAGGAACAAGAAAAGTGCTACGTGTTCATTGAAACAGATTCATTCATTCGGAAAATAAAAATCAGAACAAAATTTGAATATCACTTTTGATGTTTCAGAAAATTGAAAAGAAATATCATTTTTTATGGTTTCTGATGAACTTCTGATTTTTCGCCTGAACTGGTAAAATAAATAATTCAAAATAAAGATTTTTTTGTTAAAAAATCGATAATTTAGAAATGACTTGATTCCTAACTCCTGAAAATTTCAGTCCGAACGGAAAAGTAATAATTTTTTCAGACACCCAAAGTTCGTAATTATCAACTAGATTGATCGTTTTGGGATTGATTTTTATCAGATACTGTAGTTCTTGTATTTCTTAGCATCACATCATCTATTGCTGAACTATTGTTTTGTGACTAAGGCAACTTGCACTTTTATAATTTTTTTCCAGTTTCTGATGATAAAAAATCAACGTGCGTTAAATATAGAGATTTGGTTGATAGATTTCAGAGGTTGTAAACAATTTCCATTGACGTGGAGTTAAGGAGGTAGAGTGGAGTTTGATACTGATCTTAAATATATAGAATATTTTGCAGGAAAAAAGTTATGAGAAGAAAGAAGTGTGCAAAACGTTTTGATTTCAGGGAACATCAAGATCATTCTGAACAAGAAAGCAGAGAAATAGTTAAGCTACAAAACACAGAGTACTGGAAGAAAAATTCCTAACGGGATACTGTAACTTTCGCTGCAAGACACTGATTTTCAAGTTGCATTTTTGCAGTATTCGCCAACCGTTGTGATAATACAAGCGAATGGATAGGTTTCCGATTACAAGAACCTGTAGTTTCTTGTTATATTATCACAACAAAACCTAAAATTCAACGATGTACAAATTTAATTTTTTAAAATAATTTTCCAATTATTTTCCGGATTTTTCAAATGTCATGTTGTCTCCTATTAGAAATAGTACAATAAAGAACTTCAAAACTATTTTGGAAAGTTCATGATAGTTTCACCTGTATTTAGCACGGGATTGATCCTGTTTTGGCCTTGAGTGATAGATTACGAAAATGATAAAAATAAGATTTTAGGATACAAAACAGTAAAAAACTCAACCTTTAATAGAAATAACTTATCATTTTTTTGACCCAATTTGTCCCAAAGCCATTGAATTATATCAAAAAGCGGTCACCTTCAAAATGTTTACCATACAGTGGAATGCATTTTTCTAGTTGGCTGCTCATCTAGACCTCACTGATAATCAAACTTTTTAGACTGAAATGACTTAGAGCCTTTCTGTTACAAGTCATACGATATTCACATAATTTGATTTATTCCGAATTTTTATTTCGTTTCTCTTTTAAAGGTGGGGACAGGGGACAGAAGATTTTTCGTAGTTTTTTTGTAGCTAGAGTATGCATTCTACCGTCAAGGTGTACAACGCTTAATGTCACTCTGCCTACAGCTGTCGTCCTCGCCTTTATGTATGCAATCGGGCGTGCACTCTCTCTTTGCCCGCGTGGCTCAGTCGGTAGCGGCGCCGCACCCTCAATCATCGCCCTCACAAGTTCAACTCCTCGAGGGGCATCTTTGAACGGAATTTCGAGAACATTATTTTTTTTTCATGTCCCTCCACCTTCAAGATGAATCTACACTTTATTTGTTTCAAATCATTTAGTTCCAGTAGCAATTCCATTCGAAGCCATTCAAAGCATTTTCAATTATTTTTTATCAGCATTTTCCTTGTCTTTTTTCCACACTAAGGCGCCATTCGCCAGCGCCACTTGGAATCAGAAGAAAGTTTCTTCATCCCTTTTTTCATTCTGTTATGTGGGTGGCTCCTGGCTATCACATTTTGAATGGTCTGGTTCGCCTGATACCTCTGAACGCAACTTTGCAACAGAGAAGCAGTCGTCGTGATTTCCATGCTTCTTGCAAAAATTCTTCTGATCGTCGCTGTATCAATTCTAGCCTTTCTTCTGATTGGAATCGTCGTCTGGACTTCCACATTGTCTCGAATCAGCTGTTATCAAACGTCAATGCAAGCATCAACTGATGTGGTCGAAGGGAAAGCTTTCTGCAAAGCCAAATTTTTTGTACACAATTACACAGCCATTTTTTCTGGAGTGCAGTATTCCGGCAGGTTCAGGTCACCAGTACCAATTCCGTTAACCGAAGGCTGTGTTCTGAGAGTGAGTTCAATATTAAAACATGAATTTGATTAATTGTTTCCAGAGCATACAAATTGAAGAAGACACGCAGGCTGAGGGGACTCAATATTATTCGTGTTTGTGTAAAACGGCGTTGTGCAACTCCCCTATGACTGTCGCACAGTTCATCAAGAACAACTTCACACTGCCAGCACCACTGATTCCAGCCAAAGATGGTCTTTTGTGATGCTGCAGAGTCTGTTCTGACTCTTTGAATTGTATCTTATTCCTTTTTTCTTTCAACTCTGTTCAGTTCACCTCCACTTATTACCTCTTCAACCAACTCGACCCCTCATAAAATCTCATAATTTTTTCTTCTTTAATTTTGATTAATTTATAGATAAGAAATAAACAATTTCTAATGAGCTCATGTTTTAAACAACAAAAAAAAATAAACATTCAATTTGGGGGGTGATTTACTTTTCGCATCGACACATTTTAATGTGATCGAAACATAATTAAACTGAGAAAATGGCTAGATGGAGGGAATGGAACGTAGTGGAAACGAAGACCAAGGAAAAACCTTAATCATCATGAATAACAAAATTTCAAAGTCGAAGAAATCTAAAAATATCGGGTACATGTTTCGAAAAATTTTTTGAGATCTCTTAATTTTTTTTGAGATCTCTTATACATACTTGAATGAACAAAGCATAAGCGTGACATTTTCGTTTTGTGATCTAAAGTTCACAACAAATGCTTGTTTTGGTTTTTTGCTGCACTAGGTGTGGTACGGTCTTATTGGTTTCTTATGTGCAAATTTTACACATCTTGGCGAACTGAGCGTCACTCTGGTGTTAGTTCTGGACTTAAAAACCCCAGCATTTGGAGCTTTGGACGAAACTTTAGTCTGAAGTTACAATTTTTGGCACTCTTCTAGAATCACGGAACGAAAAAAAAATCACGGAACGAAAAGTCACGGAACGAAAAAATCACTTTTTTTTTTTATAAGGCTTTTTGCTTTTTTGACGTGAAGATTTTCAGAGGGAAGGCTTTTTGTTGGTACTTTTAGAAGTGTTTTGAGCAACTGAACTTGATTCCAGAAGTAGAAGTAGATGTTCGAGCACGCTGAACTGAACCGCGAGCTGTTCTTCTTCCGCGAGCTCTGGCACGTAGTGCTCCTCTTCTTCGACCTCTCCCAGCTGATGATGTCGAGGCTGGACCATGGCTTGTTCCAGGATCTGGACCGAGAATTGGCGATACCTTTCCTGAATTTTGTTGAAAGTTGAGTCCTGCAGCATTTGTTCCACGAGCAGTGGAAGGCCCTCTGCCACGATGCGATCAACGGCGTCCAGCACGAGACGATCCAGGGGCTCACACGAGGTTTTTTACAAGAACTGGTTTGTCATCTGAATTCTGTGGGAGAATTGAAAGAAAAGGATGTCGTCAAAATGTTTCCCCTGTTTTTCTGTGGGAATGCTCTCAAATGCTACGAAAAACTTCCGGAAATTGTAGAAGCGGAACATGTTGTCGAGTCCACGTGGCTATTCACCGACTCAACAACTTTAAGATATTCTGAGGACCTCTAGGCCCAGCCCACTGTGCTTACTCCTCAGAAATCTCCCTATTTCCCACTTTATTCTCTTTATTTTCCTTTGTTTATTAGTCTTTTATTGCTTTCTCATATTCAAATTCCCGCCAATTTTCTCTCCCTTCGTGCAAGCGCGCCCTATCGTTGAGGTCTCGCCACGAAGGGGTTAAAGGCGCACACACACTCGAAACGGGTTTACTGGTCTATTTTTACTCAGATTAACTGAGTCTTACGCAGATTAACTGAGTCTTACTCAGTCTAATTCTAGTCTAGTAGTTAGTGCTGTTCCGTGACGTTTCCCTTCAGTTTGCAAGTCGCCAACCTCGTTACTCATCATTATTCCTACTATTCCAATACTATAAGACCTCCGGCGATCCCCGATCGCCTTACCGGCCTTATTGGACTATCGGAAACCGCTAATGATGTGAGTTGATATAGATTTCCTTCTGAATAGACTAACGGCCAGTTCTGTGACCTGTTTCATGAGTGTTTTCCTTTCAGTGCTCTCATCGTGACCACTAGGAAGCGTGTGCTATTGGGAACTTTGTCTATGAGAAGCGATAAGTTTGTCACCGGTAGGAGAAGGGTTTTTGTTGCCCAAGGCTTTTTGCCCCTTCAACTATTGAGTGATCAGTGATGTCCTTCTCGTCCGTCTCCAAGCCAGTCCGACTCCAAGGAAACCTCTTATTGACGATATATTCCCTTTATTAAATATATACCGCTCAATAAATGGGTCACTGATACTACTGTTGTTGTTATTGTTTCCACACCGCTTATCTGCCCGCTCGTCGTCCCACTCCTCGCTACAGACATAACTAGTTCCCCTGTTACCGATGCACTTTCCCCTATTTTACCAGACAGCACGCACAAGGAGGTAGCTTGTTTCTCTGGAGCCGTCACGGGGAATCCAACACTCCCCAAGGTGACTCCTCTACAGAACATGGAAGTTGTTACTTGAAAGTTTTAGCAATCGAATACATACGGTCGATAGTCAATTGATTGCTCAAAATAGTCTAGTATCAATGAGACAAGCAAAAAATTCGGTTTACGAATACTACGAGAAATGTATAATGTTGGCGCATTGAACAGACCCTGGATCAAGCAGAGAAAAAAAATCGGGAAACAATATTACATGATATTTTTGTGAGAGGCCTGAGGAACAACATTAGGAAACATCTCCGTCTAGGAAAGTCATCTTTTGAGACATTACAGTCCGCGAAACTGCAAGAAGTGGTTGATAAAATTAGCAAAGTTGTTGATAGCGATTCCGATAACATTTCTACGAGCATGAGTCAACTCATGATCATTCCAGGTGCTAACGTTATAAATAACGATTCAGACGTTGTTGGGAGTTCAGTTCAAGAAGTGAGTGTCAAAATAAAAAAATATCGTTCAAAAAATCTTATAAATCTCTTTAACAAAACTGTTTCTCCGAAAGAAAAACTGACTCTCCCGAAAAAAAACTGTCTCTCCAAAAGCCAACAGATTTGTTTGAAAGATAGTGGTGATAGCTCAGTTCAAGAAGTGCGTGTCACAATGAAAAACATAATAATTCAACAAAAATCCAATTAATTTTTTTTCAAACATACAACAGCAAACCTCGCGCGAAAAGCCCAAAGATTGAACAGGATTGTGGTGAAAACGATAGTTTCGAAATCGTTACTCCACCAAGACCTTTATCAGCGTTAGCAACATCAGCACGAAACACAAAGCAACGAAAAAATCTTACTCGTCAACAAATAGGGCGTTCTCCAAGTTCTTCGACAATCGTTATCGCGAGCCCAAGTGCAGAGATGTTTGGATCACCTTCTTCAAATGTCTTTTCATTGCCAACTGAACTTCTAACAACTCCAAAAATTCCCAAAGCAGGCTCACAACAACCAATAATTCCTCCGATTGAACACGCTCAAACAAATATCTTGAACCGAGTTTTGGAACTTCTGTTATGTGTTGGGACACGCCCACCCGGAGCTGAAGAAGGTAGAATGTGAGAGGAGAGTCTCCTCCCTTCTTCTTAATAATCTTTACTCATATGTATTTAACCTTGTTTAATCTTATATTTTTATTCTATTTTAATCTACAATAATTATATAATGAACCCTGACAATCTGGAACCAAAGTGTTAGTACTGTTTTCGGGTGGAACTAAAATTTAAAGTCGATAATATGTAGTCTGGAGCTCGCCTAACTTTGCTTTACACCGTCTAAAGTTTTCAAAGTGATAAGCATCTTGAGAGCCTAGCTCCAGACTTCTTAAAGTAGTCAAAATCATTTGAAAAAATATGTTTTTGTCTATCTTCTAGACCAGCGCTGTAAATTTTGAACATGGGACCTCAAAATTTTGGCTCTTTTCTAGTTTGGGGTCCCAAAAAAGAATAGAGGTCCAAAAAAAAATTGAAGGTCCCAAAAAAGGTTAGAGGTCCCAAGAAAAAATAGAGGTCCAAAACTTAAAAATGCACAGATTCTGGAAAAATGTACTAGAACTTGAATTGTGTAAGAAATTAAAGTTTAGAGGTATTATAGCAAAATAATTGTTGATGATATATTTTATACTTCTAATAGGCTTATGTTAGAGATGCATATTTTTGACAATTATCTAAGTCAGACAGCATAATCACGGAGTCATTAATGTATTGCCGAAATTTTCCTCATATGTAAATTGGGGTTTATCAGCAAGATGCGAGAGAATTGGAGCTAAAATTGTTAGGAGTAGTTATATCATCCTATAAGACCCCAAAACTCAAACTACTCACACAGTTCAAATACTAGTACATCATTCCAACATCTGTGCGTTTTTTGAATTTCCGACCTCTATTTTTTCTTGGGACCTCTAAACTTTTTTGGGACCTCTAATTTTTCTTGGGACCTCTATTTTATTTTGGGACCTCTAATTTTTTTTTCGGACCTCTAAATTTTTTGGGACCTCTAAACTAGAAAAGAGCCAAATTTTTCTATTCCTGTAGCTATCTACATTCACAACGAGGAAAGAGGGAGAAAATACAACGAAACAGGCTGTTGCGCAGCCTCGCGTTTGAAATAGGTAATTTAGTTTCAAGGAAGTGTATAATCATGACGATATAAGCGCAATAAACCGAAATGAATAATGGAATGCACGCCTCTATTCGAATAAAAACGATCAGTCTCATTGAAAATTTTTTCATCTTAACTGATTTTGCTTTCAAATAAGTTACTTATCCCAGACCACCCGATCTAAACCATCAAATTTCGAATGTTCACTTTGCCGTCTGTGTAACCTATATCATGAATGTCACAGAGAATACAGAAGAGTCGGTAACCGATGCGAACTGTGTTATCTTTGTCGAGAGTCCTTTCATATGCTCTGCGAACACTCTGAGCAAGGTTCTGTCCGAGCAGCGGAATAACTGAAAAATAAGCAATTACTTCAGTTCTTAATTTATTACAACAGCTTACTGATACCGGCATACCCTTCATCATAAAAGAATTGGTCAAAAGGCCGTGGAATTCCTTTGATGCCTTGGCAGTTGCGGAGGAATTTTATCTCATTGTAATACCCGGTGTCTTTGAAGATGTTTACTCTGATTAGTTTCAGAGCCAGCTCTTTGTCTGAATGGTTCTTGTCAAGTACCCGATAAATGTAGGTGTTGTCGGTACTATAGTAGCATTTGACAACGTAGTAACGATTGTGGAGAGTTTGGGTAATAATCCAGTGACGTGAAAAAAAATCATTTTAAGAAAATCATTTTAAAAATCATCCTGAAAAAAATCACTTTAAGGACAAACCAATAAGATTCACAAAAACGTTTTGTCAGATGATTTCGGTTATTTCAGGAGTCTGGAGCTCGGCTGTCAAGTTTTCGATCATTTTGAAAATTTTGGAAAGTATAAAAATTTTAGATTGATGTTGTTGAATTCACAGAATTTTAAAAATAATTTTTTGTTCTTAAGCTATTCGCCGATTTCTAAAAAATATCTGTTTTTTTTTTCATTTTTTCAGTACAAAAACGGGCCAAGAAGAGGTGTACTCTAAAAATCGACAAATAGCTAAACAACTTGGAATTTTCAAAAAACTCTATGAATGCAAAGTTTTTGATCTGCATTCACTGAAATTTTCAAAGCAACCGGAAACTTGAAAGTTGACCTTCAGACTCAAATGATCGAAAATATATAAATAAATTGAAAAACACGTTTTTGCTTATCTTATTGATCGGTACTATATGTATAATTTCTAATAAATTACTTTATCAAACTCACATTTTCTCAATCATAGGCGGAACTCGGGGGCGTTGGAGATTGGGCACAGGAGGATCGTATCGGCACGAGAGTACATAAATAGGGAAGGCGCAGTCAAGTTGTTAGTAGAAATGCAAGGGAGAAGAGAATCAATAGAATCAAGTCCACGTGGCAGCCTAATTACCTTCCTCGCACGACACGTTGCGGACCTGAATGCACCAAGAATGATGTCCAACAGAAAAAAGAGTGATGCCGATTACGGTTGATCAACGAAACAATGCAGTAAACAGCAGGGACGCAATGGAAATGGAAGACTATTTTCAAAATTGAAATGTGAAGAACAACTCACAACTCAGGGAATTTTAAAAATCATGATCATGCTCGGTGACATTGAAATGTTTGAAAAGTTATCTATTAGGTTGGTAAAAAAGTAATGCGCGCTATGTTTGGTGTTTTATATTTCGCCTGTGAATAGGTTCTTCGGCTTAATTTTCATTTTATTTTGAAGAACATGTCTTTAACTTTGTTCTTGATTGTTACTTCACTGATCGAACTAATTTTTGAATTGGGAAAAAATTTAAGAAGATGCCTAATCAAAATTTTTGCTTTCGAGCCTTATTTTCGCATGAATTCAAAAACGGAAAAGCCGCCGTCAAAGCACATCGCCTTTTGCCGTCAGTATTTTTAGAAGATGCTCTATCCGAAAATTTATATCGACGCTGGTTCCTACGTTCCCGAAGCGTCGAAGTAAGCCTGGAAGAAAAAACGTTTTGTCTAAAAAGCGTTGTCAACGATGTCTTGAGACAATCAAGCTAACTGGACCCGTGCCAAACAATTAGCTGCTTATTAGAACAGCCTAATCGCACCTTGCTCACATTTCTGAAAAGCGAAGTGATGCAGAAAAAAGGTGTCACACGAACTTTCTGACGATAACAATATGAAGCGCATCGAAGTGGCCGGTTTTATCTCGCGGCTTTCAAAAAGTCGTGGTTTTTTGGATCCAATTTTGGTTTTGGATGACAGATGGACTCAATACGAGTGCTTTTGATAAAAAAGGCAGTGGTCGAATCATGACGAGGCACCGAAACCGACACCAAAACCGAACATGCACGGGGAAAGGATATGTCATGTGTCTGGTGGAATACGCGAGGTCTGAGGTATTATGAATTTCTATAGCATGGTCAAATAGTGACTTACGATCGTGCCAAAGGTCATCTGAACCGTATGAACCAGGTGCTCAAACGGCAAGAAGTGGACATTTGCGAAGTTTCTGGTTCAAGACAACTCTCGACCGCACACCGCAAAAATCACTTAAAAATTTCTTGGAGTTGGACTGGAAAGTGCTTTTACAGTCGCCTTATAGCCCAAATTCGGCACTACCACTATCACTTGCTCAGATCAATACAGCATCATCTCTGAGAAAAAATTTAAGAATGGGGAAAAAGTGAAACTTTCGGTAACGAACTACTTCGTGTCACAGTCAGTGAGGTTCTTCACGAGCGGCATCGAATCTTTGCGCGTTGTTTGATATATTGTTTGCCGGGTTTTGATTAATAGTTATCAGAAAAAATCTTTTCTGAAATACTCAACCAAAATTTACTGATGCGCGCTTGTTTGTGGTACGGCTCCAAACAGTACAAAAACCATTCAAAAGTCTTTGGATGGTTTAACAAATTCGAAAACAGTGATGAAAGCCTTGAGGACAAAGAGGTTTCTTCCTCAAATTGTCGATCACAATGTTCTAAAGCATATCATTGAGACGGAACCGCGGTAAACGACTTGCAAACTTGCTCAGCAATTTAGATGCTCTCATGGCACAGTTTTCAATCTTTTGCACTCAATCGGCAAAACGAACCGCTGTGGAAAATGGCCGCCAAACGAACTCACCAATGCCAACAAAGCGACAAGGGTGGGGAAGGTAGAGATTTTGGCTCTTTATGACAAAGTCAGAAAAGGGGGGGCCCATGAGAAAAGGGGAGGGCCCAAGCGAAAAAGGGGGGAGGTCCAAGTGAAAAAAAGGGGGGCCCAAGTAGAAAAATGTAGATTAAGTCAAGATTTATTAATTTTTTAAAGTTTTTCGGGTATTTCTATAAAAATTTCGTACTTTGCGCTTGTTTCCATAAAAGTTCATCATCTTAAAAAATTTCAGTTTATGTCGGTTTTTTGCATGAAAATCACTATTTTGACCATTGCAACTGTGTAATTATAAATATTTTAGCTGATATTACATAAAAATAGGCTTAGTTCTATAGAAGCATCCATTCTATCCGTGAACGGCTTGAGGTAATACGTTTTATAATTTACAATGAATTGTTTGTGTACAAAATAGTCCGGAGTAAAACTTGCCAACCTAATATGTGCTGCGTACAAGTAATTGAGCATAAATCTTCAATACAATACATTTTGTGAAAGTTTGTTTTCGTTTTTTTTTTCGAAAAAAAAAATTTCATGAAATTCTATCCTTTTGGATCTTTGCTTGTGATTACGAAAAGAGTTGAATCATTGCTAGTTATGATATGTGTACGCGTTCTGTGTTCGGTGGAACACCAGTTTCTATTTGCAGCCCAATTTTGTGATCAAACGGTTTAAAAATATAGTTTATTCTGCCGCAATTTGAAGATAAAATTTGAATGGCTTCTGGTGGATATCAGTATTTCAATATGATATCAATATTTTACTAGAATGAAACAAAACAGTTAAAAATCGGATGCATGCATGATTTTAGTTTTTCAAGAGTATCATTATTGTTTACAATTTATATTTCACATTGGTAGCTACGCATTCTGAGTCAAATTGAGGAACGATGGGAGAAACTATTGACGTAAGCAATTGTGTTGTATGATTGAAAAAAGTATGACCTTTGTAATGTCTCAAATATGGAACATTTTCGATGCACATCCGACGGATCTGAAAGCTTAAAATTAGTTCTGGTTCTAAAAAATGCAAATTCAAAAAATAATTGCGCCACTTTTTCATAAAAACCTACATTCTTACTGAAAAGAAGAAGCTGAAGAGGTGTACTCAGAGTCAGAACATCGCTTGCATATGGAATCATGAAAAACACCCAGCCAGAGAAAATTGGAGATTCTTTCACAGAGGACCAAACATTGAGGTAGAAATTGCAAAATGTTAGAATCAGAAGGGAAGAATCAATGAGCAGACAAACAAGAATCATTTTTCGAAGTCTTTGATCTGAATGGGATTCTCTGAAATTGTATAATAACTTTCCCTGAGCATTTAAATATTTTACAAACCTCTCCTTTCTTCTTATTTTCAAGTAACAAATGATATTGACCGAAATATTGAAAACCGTACAAAATGATGTCGCCGGAACCATAATAGTGTAGATGTTTGCTCGACTCTGAAAAAACTCCATTAAGAATTAAATTCAGAAGCAACTTACATATGTTGAATCAATCCAAAAAAAATCGCCATTCTCGCCCATTCTGTAGAACGATCGTCCAAACAAAATTCGATGAACGATGAGGACAGGCACGAAGAAAATGATAATGACCACAGGCCAAAAGGATTTTTTCCAGATCTTCTCACAGTTTTTTGGGAAGGCGATTCCAATGAAACGATTGAGGCAGAAGAATGAATGATAAAAATATTGTGAATAGGCAAAACTATAATGAAGAGTGTGACTGATTTGAATCCAGGAGAAATTTTCAATATTATTAACGATGTCGTGAGATTTGAAGAAATCAGAAAACGTGTCATTTTCAGCAGTGTTTCGTGGAACTCGAGCAGTGATAAAAGAGTTTCCAAAAGCGAGAGTATTCTGAAAACAACATTTAATCAAAAGTTCCGTACAACCTGTAAAAGAAGGGCCCGGCACTGGCAAATTTGGGATAATTTTTTTTATCTCTATGGAAGGAATAAAAAGCAAATGTTAACTGATAAAATAAGATTATATTACGATAAACAATTTATTTGTTAAAATTTTTTCATCTTTGACGAGTAACGAGATAAATACACTTAAAGTTGAAAGTGAGGTGTTCCTCATATTACAGACTTTACAGTGAATTTCGAATTTTTTACTTACCATAATACACCCCAAGACTATCAATACGACAAATGAGGGTTTGAACTGAGAACGATTCCGAACGATGATGTGCACGACATAGTGATAAAGGACCATCAGTAGGCATTCGGGAACAAATGGGATCCCGAAAGAGGGTTTTAAAAGAAGATCTAACATGATACTGATAAAATTACTTTGGGCAAAACTAGTTTATATGGGTTATCACGTGACAGTGGGCGGAGCTAGAGCTAGAATCTACTTCCAGTAGTCTCTGACTTTTTGAGTAGATTCTGAATGAAAAGGGGCGTGGCTTCCTTCCAGAAGCGCATATTAAAGTAGTTGAGATGATAAGAAATAAGTTAATTTGGGACCTGCAAAAAATAAAAACATAGTAACGTAAATTGCGCTGTAATAGAACCCCACCATATACCGTGAATGCTCTAATAGAAGATATACGTTCATTTGAGCTCAATTATCTCAATTTCTATTTTAAGAAAACAAAATTTGTCAACTGATAAAATGTTCATTTTAATTTAAACAACAATACTACTAGAGTACTTAAGGTAGTCAGCAAAAACAAATTGGATGATGTTTCGGTATTTATCAGCAGAAAAGTTTTTTTATTAATTACACTTAGGCACAGATTTTGCCTTGTTCCGAATTACTTTCATAGGCTCATTACATTTCTGACCATCTCTGAATTTTAGATTTTTTATCTATGGCCGAGGAAAGTTCGAAATTCTATAATTTTTCAGTTCAGTTGAATTTTGAACTTTCTACAGTAGTCAAACACACGCATGCTATTCTCGATTTTGATCAAACGAATTTTTTCGTGTGTAATCAAAACCTACAATCCTGACTTTCGAAAAAATTCGAAAAGTCAGAAAGTACAAATGAATGGCTTATAATTTCTATTTCAGTCTTATTTGACACTATGACTCAGGAAGAAATCTGAAAGATCAGAAAGGAATCACTTTCTATTCGGAGTGAATATTTTGAAGTTCCGGGATTTCGATATGGTTGATAGCAAGACGGGACGTGAAATACAAACCAGACATCTGTAAAAATCATTTGAAAATCGAGAAGCATCTCAATCAAGAGTACGTAACACCTTTTGTTGTTGTGTTCAGTTTTCTGCAGCATTTTTAGCTTGAATATTTTCAAGTCGTTTTTTTGAAGTCTGTGGCACAGTTTGCATAAGAACAAAAAAACATCCAGTTTTCATTAAACTTGTAATGTAATTTTCATCAACCTAGGATTTTCAAAATAATCATTTTCTCACGTTTCCTGCACTTTGAGCACTTGTGCATTTGAAATTTTATCCATCATCAAATTTTACGAACAATTGTCACTGATCTTCAAAATTATACTTGACATGTTAACAGTAATAATTGGATACATTCTATTTGTATTCCATTCAATATTTTCATTGAGAATCAGATGAAGCGTAGTTCTAAGAGAAAACTGCGTTAGTTATAAATCGAAACGGTCTGGCTAGGGGTTTGTTAGGTTTTCGAAACCGTCACAGGGGTTACCGCAAATCTGAATACAGTGAAGGTTCAACGCTTTAGGTAGATTTAACAAAGGTTTATTAACTGGTCTAAGACCATAAAGATATTAAGACAAGAATACAAAGTCAAAGGCCTCGATTAAGCGAACGGGGGGGGGGGGGGGTATTTATCTGGATCGATCCTGTGGGCGTTTGGCGGAGCTGCTGGCCGATGATGTTGCCTCATTCCAGGAGCTGGTGGTTTGATCTGAAACAATAATCTTAGAGTGTGTGTGCAGAACGGAGGCGCTGAGAGGGGAATGTGGTGTTTCAGCCTATGTGTCATCTAATGGATTTCCCGCTGGGATTTCTTATCACCCGTGACTGTGTTGGACTTTGTGCTCTCCCTATGGGAATGCGGAACTTGGACTATGACCTGGTGGGGAAATATTATGGTAATGTAAAATCTCCCTAAAAGGATATTACTATCCTTTACACCTCCCCCTTTAAATTAGGACCGTCCCTGGTCCTATGTGGAAAAGAGGAAAAGAAAAAAAAATTTTAACTTGCGATTTTGGATTAGGTCTAAGACCTTATAACCAACGGGCGGTCATGACGGAGAAGTTGGATTTGGCCTCGTGCGGGATCCTCCGGATCAGACGACTCCACGTTCCGTTGGTTGTGACCTTCGGTCTGTCGACGATGATGCAACAGATCCGTTTGGTCCTTGAGATTGCCACGTTTATACGGCGGCAGTCCTCGATGAACTCGGAATCCCTGAAGGACGAAGTCCGGGTGGTCAGAATGATGACGGCCTGGAATTCGTGGCCTTGAGATCCGTCGATTGTGCCAACGTAAAAGGGGGCATCTCCAAGAAGAGCGGCGACTTCTCCCGCTTGTGCTTTGTAAAAACACAAGATTCCTATGTCGTTCGTTCCGACACGCGTTTGGATGGTTCTGGCGATTCGAACAGCTGCTTTTGCTTCTTCAATGTTGGTGAGCGAAGTGCCTGACTGTGTGTGTGACGATTGTAGATCTAAGATCTGTATTGGAAAATCATTCCCAAATTTGAGGGCGGCGGTGAATGCCCTCAGCTCGGCTTCCTTTTCCGGCGACCATAGGGACGTGAGGCGTTGATTGTAGAACAGCTCGTTGTACATCCTGGTCACTTGCGGTGGGCAGCGGCGGCCAACCGTAAGATCGATGATCGGGAGTGTCCTTCTCTTGATTGCTTCTTGGAGAACTCTGGAGATTGCAAATGCGGCAATATCCTTTGGAAGGTCGGAGTCCTCAAAGGGGGGCAGCTGATGGATATCTCCGACGAGAGCCAACCGAGCTCTCTGGAACATGAGTGCCAACGCTGCCAGGGCATAGAGTGGGAGCTGCGACGCCTCGTCGACTTGGATCGCCGAGACGTTTTCTCTTAGCCAGGTCCAATCGGGGGTTTTGAAGGATTCCAGCACGCTGGCCACAGTGCCAACTACAATACGAGGGTTGTAGAGCTTGCGGAAAAGTTCGGCTTTCGGGGTGGTGTTCCTGTCAGAGTTGGGTCCTTTGGCTACAGCTTTCCGGATAAAGTGGTGAGCGAACTCCTCGGGGTCGATTTTCTTGGCATGAAGGTGTTGTATTGCTGACATAAGGTCCGGGTTCTCTCTTATGGTCGCGACTGCTGTTGACGGGTCAATCCTGTGTAGCAGATCCTTGAAGACTTTGATCCACAATATCGGATAGTCGATTTCTGTCCGCAACGCTGGGTCCAAGTGCTCGCGATGAGATTCAGAGATTAATCGGACTGGAGGGTACCGGGTTTCCGGATCCAAGGTCCTGAGCGTCTTCACCATTGGTAGCACACTCACGTTTGTCATGCCTGTGAGGGTCTGAATAGATCTAAGATCATTGGTTTCGCGTATGGCGTGGATGGCAGCTCCCGCTACCATCAGAGTCTTCCCGACGCCTGGGGGTGCGTTGGCGATAACCCCTGCGATCTTGGTCTTGGCCAGCGTGTTGGCGTAGTAGGATTGCTCCTCTGATAGTTTCACTGCTGAACCGGCAAAATCCACGACATCGGTTTTGTCCCAGGGCATGATCCCGTCAATCTCCGGTCCTCCTGTGAGAGCGATCAAGACATTTCCTGATGGAGAATCCACCGGGACCTTCAGCCAGTCCTCTGGCTCTGGGAAAGTTCGGAGTTGGTGGAGATTATCGTCCAACTGTTGCCAAACGACTGCATTTTGGTTGAGCAGATTCTTCTCGTTGATCCTTGACTGGCTCTCGAATGTGAACTTGGCTCTTATTGTCAGCTGGGTGTTGATCAAGGTAGCCGATTCGACTTCCAGATCGCAAGTTCCGCCTGGAGAGATGTCCATTTTGAACGCCGTCGAGCGGGTCCAGGAAGAGACGGGGGCGGCGGTACTGGGTCGTCGGATGGTAAACGTTACCGTCGACCGTCTTCCTGTTGTTTCTGACTCCGTGATGGTGGTGGAGTAGGTGGTCGTGTCCCTTCCTTTGTTCGCGATGGCCAGGGTCGCCGCCAGTCCGAATCTGGCTGTCCAAAGGAGGGCTTTTCCTCCGAGATCATAATCTGGGTCTGATTCTGCTCCTTTGAAAGCATTCGGTGCGATTGAGATGTACTTCCTGAATTTTCCCGGCAAGACTCGGACGGCTGTGACCGTGGGTTTCAATGGCACAATTGGTGGCTGGACGTTGGTAGCGGTAATGACAGCATGTCGAGCATCTCCGGGCAGCAATGATCGAAGAGTTGATGCAGGTTCCAGGACCGGGACCAGGATGTCAGCGGCTGTACACTTCTGGTCCTGCGGATGGAGTTCCTTGAATAGCGCGATCTTTGCTTCGACCACTTGGTTCTGGTTGTATCCGATGCACTCGGCCTTCCATGGCATTTTGAGTTTCCTCCGAGGGTCGATAGGTTCCTTGAGGTCATCCATCTTCCACAGAGGCTGGTCTTTTTCCACCTTTCTCTGCACAAGAGCAAACTTATTGACTTGCCAGAAGTGACATTTGTTCATGTCCAGGATGTCGACGAAGTCCCTCTTGATTTCGTTTAGCTTCGCTCCTGGTCTTCTCTTCAGCGAAAGTACCACCAAGAGGTCTCCAATATAATAATTGGCCGGGTTGGGTGGTCCTGGGTTGAGGATGTCTTCGGAGTGTCTCGTCAGGTGGACTGTGTACAGGTCCGGGCGATCGTAGGACACAAGCTCTCTGTGAGCTGGGTTGAGGTGCAGGTTGCCTCCAGCGGATTCCTTGACAATGTAAAGGGCGAAGATCCTATCGCAATCGAATCGTGACAGTGTTGCCACGTTTGGGTTTCGTTTGCCGTTCGGGACCGAAGTGATTGGTGTGTCGATGGTCATCCACTTGGTTGTCTCGTTCCGGAAATCCTGAATCATCTGCAGGGTTGTTGACTCGGAAATCCGCTGAGCTGGCTCTGAGGGCAGTTCCACGTCCGTAACCATGTAATGGGCATCGTTACCGATTATGAAATCGTAGTCGCGTGGTCCTCCTGGGGTACACTGTCCTGTGGTAAAGTGGGTGTTCTGAAACAGGACGTGACTACCAATCTGAAATTTGACGACGGCAGAGCCAGCCATTTTTACCTCATTATTTCCTAAGCCTACTGCCATGTAAGAGAGAGGTTCCTGGAGTCTTGGAATTCCAAGCAGGTGGAGAATGCCTTGCCCGGCTACTGTAAAACTGGCACCGGTGTCAATGAGAGCCCAACAGTTTATCCCATTCGCTTTGAGAGGTACAACAGCTGAAAAGTACTCCGTGGGGTGGGCGAGAGCATTAATCCTTGGAGATCGAAGTCTTTCGGTGAGGGTTACATAGTCGCATACCTGCCCATCTGGGCTCTGGGGACGCTCAAACTGGGGTTGAGCTGGTTGCCTGAACGGAAGGTAAGGGGTGAGTACATTAGATACTAAGATCATGATGATGGCGGTTCCTACGATTAGAGTTACTACGATATTTGTGAGTATAGTCCAAACATAGAAGATCAATTCCCATAGCCACTTAGCTTTTGTCCAAAACGTTACCGCTTCTTCGATGGTGTCGAGTGACAAGGGTCCACTGCTTGGGTCTCCATGAGACGAAATGATCCTGGTGATGGCTGCTGGCGATCCTTGAAGAGCTCCCAAATTTCGTTGTAGTGATTGTCCTGAATATTTTCTGAAAGAGATCCTAACACGAGGTTATGGAAGATTAGATGTTCTTGAGTAACAGATCCAAGATCTTGATGGGATAGTCATCGTTTGAAAATTTGTGTCGGTTTTTAGTTCTAAAGTGAATGGGTTCAGACTGTACAGAGTTTTGTTTGATACGTACTGAAAGCTGGTGACCAGACTACAGTCTACTGGGTGAGCTCTGTTTGTAATGACTCTGGTAGTAAGGTCGACAAAAGTTACAATTGATGTATTTTTTGGGAGTCTGACTCTAAGAGCAGGTTTCGAATAGCATGTTTTCGTGAATGGTACAAATTCGTAAGAATCTTGTGGAACTGGTGAACATACTTGTAGTGAAAGGACGTCGTTTCCGATGTACTTGGCGAAGATGTTCTCTTTCTTTAGCATCTGACGGGCTGCCAATGTAGGGTTGCTGGCGACAGCGGCTCGGGTGGCTGCCGCTACTGCGTTGAACGACGAGCACCAACTCATGAAGTTGCCGGCAAACCAGGCGGCCGTGGTTTCTAAAACGACTTCCTCAACTGCAAGCAGTTGGGCAGCTAACTGATTAGAAGTTACAAAGTTAGTCAGTTCATCTACTGAGTTAGATCGTTTGTTTCTGTTTGGAAGGGCGATACCGTATCCTTGATCTGAGATCACTAATTTTCGTCCACAATCTAATAATCGAGTGTTGTTTTGGTCGAATGAGATTGCGAATTCTTTTTCTGTACTGACCCAGATGTTTTTAGTCATAAATCCTTTCATAGTTCTAAGTTCCAAATACTTACATTCTTGTTTTGGATTTGGTGTCCATTGGAATGCCGCGCCTTCTCTGGTGTTGCAGAATCCGGAAGAAAAGCGACATCCGACCATTGATCCAGCTGGCGATTCGGGTGTTTCCTTTCCGAAACGAGTCATCACCCGTGTCGGCATCATGACGCAGTTGGTTGATTCGGCTGTTTGGGTTCCTAGAAAAGCTGAAAACGGAGCCGAGGGCCAAGTAAGTATATGATCGTTGAGAGTTTTATAGATTCCATTGAATGGGACTAAGTCCCCGTGGCTACAATGCAAGAATTTCTTCATTGTCTGACATTCTTCGGATGAAACGGTTAACTGATTTGTTGTGCTTTCCTCTGTTCTTACTCCGAAAAATTTACTGAATACTTAGTGATTCGCTTAACAATTTTGCATAGTGTACCATTGGCTTCATAAGCTATTGTGTTGGGTCTAAAGATGGTGAGCTCTTTTTGAGTTACTGGATGAGGTTCATGACCTGTGGCCCTAGAGCAATCCAGCGGAGCTGGTAATCTAAGATAACTTTGCGGGGTATGTGGCATGCATACTAATGGGCTGATTGCTGCAACTTGTGTGAAAAGAGACATAAAAGTGATGAGGATCAATAAGTAGGTCTGAGACCATCTGAGGCAACTTACTCTTCTATTGGGAACTTGGTGATTTCCTGGATTGGTAGTAAGTTCATCGTTTCTTTTGATGAGGGCATTGATCTGGTTCTGACGAACTTCGAGTTCAGTTTGCATTGCTTCCATCTGGGCGTGGATGGTTGACACAACTGGCTGAATTGCCTGAACTCCTGGATTATTAGAAAAGATTTGATGATTATCGACTGGGTTTCTTTGTGGGAAAGATCTGGTCTGGGACCTGAGGTTGGATACCTTATTCGTTTTCTGGAAGATTCCCTTGGCTTGATCTGCAATCTTTCTGCGACACTCCCTTGCAAAATGTCCGGGTATGCCACAGTAGAAGCATTCCCTTTTTGGTTTCGACCATGGAGAGTTTTGAGCTGGAGCTGGAGCCGGGATGACGGCAAGTCCCTGAGGTGCGATGGTGTTTGACCTTGCTGCTTCCTTTAGTAGAAGTTCGAACTTCATTGCCGAATTCTGAGCTTCCTGAAAATTTGTGGGCGATTCCCCCTTTACGAGGAACTTCAGATTAAATAGAAGTCCGTCAATGAAAGCTTCTTTAGCTTTCTCTTGTATAAAGTCTCGGGAATTACCTGCGTGGGCACTGAGGGCCAACTTACGGACACGAGTGCAAAAGTCATCTACAGATTCGTCGGTTCGCTGACTGCATTGCCGAAGCTGCTGTCTCTCCATCTCGGCGCGATTCGGATCTTCGAACGTCTTTCGCATCTCTTCCACCAATTGTTGGCATGTGTAGCTCGGATGTTTTTCCAAGAGTTCTTCTGCTTTGTCTCTTGCGAATTCCGTCAGGTAGGTCAGGAACACGGCTCTGACAGATGACTCCTCGAGTGCTGGGTTGACGGCTTTGACGTGGTCCATAAATGAGCGGACGAAGGTGGAAAAGTTTTCCGCTGGTGCGCCAGAGAAGATCGGGATCCTGGATCCAATTTTTAAGCCTAGGACGTTGATCGATGAGCCGAGGATCTCGTTTGGTGGAGTCGGGGATGCTCGTCGACTTGGAGGGTGAGATGTCTGGGCGCTGTTGTGCGTGGACGGCGTGCCCGAATTGTCTGCTCGATTTGCAAAGAGAGTGTTTATTCTATCCGTGTTTTCGGCTACCCTGTCCTCGACAGCTTCGAGTCGGTCAATCGAGAGTGAAGCGATCTCTTGGATTTTCTGGTGGACGGATTGCAGGTCTGAGACCACGCATTGTTTGACGGAGGCGACCGTGTTCATCGCGGTCGCCACCTCAAAGATGATTTGTTCGGTCATTCTGTTGTTGCTGCCTGGACCTTACTTACTACCCAAAGAGGAGGCGAACGTTCTCTAACCATCTCCTGTGTTTTGGGCTAGTCGCTTACCTCCCAAGTAAACGGGTCTACCATTCCTACCTTGACTATTTTGGGGCTGCTGGCGGTGCGATAACTGATTAGAAAAGATCTGCAAACTCCTGAAGATGGGTTTGGCCGAACCCGAAATTCTGAAAATTTGCCTTACACCGAACCTGATGATATCATCCTGAAAACCGTGAACCTAGATGCATCCGTGTTGTCCGAGGGGAGACGCGATACAAACTAACCCAGGCAGCCGCTCAAACCGGGGTCTTATTACCTAAACCAGTGTTATATCCCCAAAAGCGACCGGTGGATCGTATTTGCTGAAAATGGAAAAAAAATATGTGTCATCTAATGGATTGTGTCATCTAATGGATTTCCTATGTGTCATCTAATGGATTTCCCGCTGGGATTTCTTATCACCCGTGACTGTGTTGGACTTTGTGCTCTCCCTATGGGAATGCGGAACTTGGACTATGACCTGGTGGGGAAATATTATGGTAATGTAAAATCACCCTAAAAGGATATTAATATCCTTTACAATACGCGCATATATCAGTGTTTGGACTCACCGGATTCCCACTTTTTGAATAATCAAATCAAAATGTTGGCATTAATTCGCGGTTCTGGAGTATAATTGCCTCCGATTAATCGGGGTATTAAGGTCCAGAAAATACAAAGAAAAGCACGGTTTTATACGAAAAATAATATTTATTATTCCGTATAATTAATAAAGAACAACAATATCACCAAAAGATACTTTAGACAAAACTCTAAACTGACTTAAATCGTCCAAAACTGACACAACTAGCTGTTCAAAAACTAACTCTAATTCAAACACACCCGGTTGGCGCGCTTGTCGTCAGCCGAACAGCGGAGCGTCGTTGCAAGCGCACAGGGAACTGCAGAAAGGGTTTGGGGGGGTAGCTTAATAAATATTATTTTTGTATAAAACCGTGTTTTTCTTTGTATTTTTGTGTCTGGACCTTAATACCCCGATTAATCGGAAGCAATTGGCAATTGAACAGAATGGGTCATCTACTAAATGGTACACGAATATTTTATAAATATATTTTTCTGTATACATCCAGGGAATCTGATTTGAACTTAAAATCCATGTTCTTGAGGTTTAAAAATGTTTATTTCAATTCTTCCAAGTTTCCTTTGTTTTCCTTTCTAGAAGCTTCTGAAAGTTCTGATGCTCTAGGACCTATTTTCGTTCTTATTCAAATTATCTCTTCAGAATTGAACCAAGATAATGTGCATTTATAGGGAACTTTTGAATTTTCAAACTGCCGATGATGAGAAAGACTGGATAAGTGCTTGAAAAGATTAAAACAAGTGTTGCACTTGTAGTGTCCTTAATTTTAAAAAATACAAATGTGTCGAAAATAAGTCATTTTTAATGACTTACCTCTCAGGTCCGGTCTTTTGTAGAATTTCTCAAATTGAGGGATTGGACTGTCAGCATTCAAGGGTATTATTTCTTCACGACCAACCTCATTGGTAGAATTGTGGTTTGTAAGGGAAAATACGTTGGAAATGGGCATTTTAAATATTTTGAAAACCTGAAAGTTTGAGAAAAATTGTTTGAAAGCGAACAAATAATTCTAAATATCCGTGGTGAGGAGTTTATCTCATAGAAAAAAAAACAAAAATGATACTTTTTTTCGATAAGAATTTGAGAACAACGATGATTGGTAGAACCACGATAACCCAAAATTTGTTCAAAATGTGGCCACAACTTGAACTATGAAAAAAAAGGAAAATATCCATTTCTAGATACAAAACAATTGTTTCTCAGTATTCGTACACAGAGGTCATATTCAAGTAATTTTAAGTACTGTGTCCGAAAATGAGCATTTTTCATTATATAGATTTCGAGAAAATTTTGTTCCTCAGACAAAATTCTTTCCCATTGTATTTTTTACTTTTACATTCTCAGATTACCCGTATTTTTTTCTTTTTTATAGTTACTGTTGGTTATCCAACCCGATCAAGTGTCTAAGACTGTCTGAACCTCCTAAACACACAAGGACGAGTTTCAGTGTTCCTTCCATACCGGAAACAGTCATAAAAACGGGTACAAGAGTCGTAAATCATACACTTACAAAAATAGTAAATAGAAGTGCGAGTAACCATACAATGGAAGTGTGAATTCAAGGTGAAGATATTGAATCTTCAACAGTAGGCATTGGAATGTCGGCATCAACACAAAGAAATAAAAAAAATCTGCAAACTACAAAAATGTTGGTGATATTAAAATATGATTAAAAAGTTATCCGCTGACTGCTTTTGAAATCTTTCACAGGAATCAAGATGATTGAGCTCAATTGCAAGAAAATGGTTGTGTCCCACTACGATTCGTCGTTAGCTGTAAAATACTCGTTTTTATCATAGTTGCAACGGGGCCTAAAGAAGAATTTTCTCGGCCCGTCTCTCGAAGTGAAAAAATTTCCAAAAGTTACATTTTTAAACAATCTTAAAAAAATGAAACGTAATTAAAAAACAAGTAGTTTTTGTTCAAATTTTTGAAAAAATTTCAAAATTTTCGAAAAAGTTCAAAAAAAGTCAGCGTCTACACAAAAGGCGGGCAGGGCCGCCAAAATTCTTGACGGGTCAACCCACAGGCGGGAGTACGATGAATTCGAACTTTCGTGAATCGAACTGTCCCGAAATCGAACTCGTTCGAATTAGAACTGTCCCTTTTTCGAACACGCCCAGAACAGAACAAGAACGGAATCGAACTGCTATAAATTCGAACTGTGCGGTGTCGAACTGTCCCGGATTGGAACTCTGTTAGCAACAGGGCGCGCTTGCTTTTTTAAAATTATTTTTGTCAACAAATTTTGCATGTTTTCTCCAGAAAATAACTTTTTTCACTTATTTTGGATATTTTGCGAATTTCTCTTACCGTTTTTTTTTTATAAACTTTACAGAAAATGGGTGGGGGGGAAAACAAGCCGATCGCTCAAGTTCAACCATATGCAATGCGTTTTAAAGAAATGAACAAAAATGGAACAGAGCTTTTTTACTGTGTCGAGCGGTAAAAAATTGCAGCTTTACTATAAAACAATATTTTTCCCAGAGAAAGACGAGCTCTATGTGATGCAGCTTATCATTTCGACAGAATGAACAACACGTTCACTGTTAAAAATCAGCATGCGAGACACGACGAGGATTTTGTCAGAAGTGAAGTTAGTAGTGAAGTTAGCATACAAAGATGGATTGGAACGAGTTGAAACTAAATCCGAATTTCCAGGTCTGTTTCTACTCTTGAACACCTAAATTGATTTTTTACTACACTTCAGGTGAATCGAAACAGAAAACTCACCAACGCATTGAAGGACGGGAGACTCATCAAGACGCTAATAAATCAGCCAATCCCGCCAATTATGCCTTTGACTGGTCTTAATTTATTAGACACCATCTCCGACGCCCATTCTGTTTAAAAGTCATGAATTCTTTCTTTTTTAAACACATATTTTCTATTTTCAAATTGTTTTTTCCTCACTGTATTCAAATAAAAATGCTTTTTTTGTTGTAAAAATGATTTTTTTCTGGAGAAAACTTGAAATTTTCAAAGGTAATGCAAGCGCGCTCTGTTGCTAACAGAGTTCCAATTCGGGACAGTTCGACACCGAATCAGTTCGAGTTGGAACAGTTCGATTCCGTTCTTGTTCTGTTCTGGGCGTGTTCGAAAAAGGGACAGTTCTAATTCGAACGAGTTCGATTTCGGGACAGTTCGATTTCGCGAAAGTTCGAATTCATCGTACTCCCCACAGGCCGCGCCGGCCTGTGATTTTACAACTATGGTTATTATCAGTGAAAATAAACCCCCATCTCGTCATTTTCTGGAATATTAAATGCATACCTGCAAAATCAGAGTCCGGTACGGCGGGCCCGGGTTTTTTTTTTTTAATTTGAAATTTTTTTTTGAAATTTCAGGATTTTTTTCAAATTTTTTTTATGAGAAAATTATGTTTTACTGCCACTCTAATTTTTGGAAGAAAAATGTAGAAAACTTTCGAAGGCGAGAGTGACATTAAAACATAATTTTCTCACAAAAAAATTTGATTCCTGAAATGTTAAAAAAAATTCAAATTTAGAAAACCTGGGCCCGGCCAGGCCAGGCCCTGATTTTGCAAGAATGGCTGGACAGAAAAGTTGTCTTTTTTCCGGCCCGGCTCGTTGTAAGCATGTATGTATTATATATCTGCACGCGATTATGCTGATACTGGATACAAAAAAATCCCAAGTGACCATTACAATAGAAAATTTGAAATATGCCTAAAAATTTAGAAAACCGTAAAAACTGTAATATAACGCCACCTGTAGTAGAACACCTCCTCTAATACAAAGACACCCTTATGATGTAGAAAATGGAGGAATGAAGGAAGAAAAACAAATTTGTATTGCATGATTCGTAGAGTAACAGTTGGAACTAAACATTTTGAGTAATTGCTCAATTTTCTGGCCCCTACTCTCAGTCCTCTATTTTATGTACTATTCTATGTTCATTTATGCTTAATATGTGTTATTTTCCTCTCCCTGTTTCTTTTCAATGTTCACTCTGGTTCATTTTATTATTTTACATTTCCTCTCACTAAAATTCATTATTTATTCATTTGGAGTCTGCTTTTCATGTATTTTAATGTTTTTTTTTTCCTTTTTTTCACGATTTTTGCAATCGTAAACAAATAAATAAATACATTTGCTAAACTTGCTACCTTATTAATCTAATGAAAAACCAATTTTTGTTACCTCGCATCATCCCAAAGTACCCATTTGAAAAATAGAACGCCATAGCGCTATATTACAGTTTTTACGGTATATATATATATCAGTCGGTTTACGCCCCTTCGGGGCTAAACCTCCTATCCTCCGGTTACAGTATCCGTAATCTAATGAAGAGCTTCAGGAATCCCTCTTTCGACACTTCTTGGAAATTCAGAAACCGTAAAAATGTATTATAAGGACCGGCCATTCTCTTTTTATTAGAGTCTCTATGGGGTACTTCATTTCAAGGGGCTTTTCTAATACAGTTCACGCCCTTTCGGGGCTCAACCTCCTGGTCTCCGGTTACAGTATCCGTAATCTTATAAAGAGGCTTCGAAACTTTTATTCATGGAAATTGTTTTGGTCTAAACATGGAAAATATTAAATTTAGAAGTTCAGAGTTTTGGAAGTTTCTTCTGAAATTCTGCGTGTCTGGAATTCTGGTATTTAGTAATTCTAATTTCCCGGGTTTTGAAAATAGAGAATTCAAGACGTTTCAAAATTGAAAAATTGAGTTCAAACTCTGATTTATTTTTTATATAGAAATTCAGGATTGTTTTTGTTTTCAAGTTTTTTAGTATCTGAATTTCGAAATCTAGATTTTCCGTATTTGCGATTTTTAGAATTCCCGGCTTTTCTGAAATTTATGAAGGAAAACGCGGATATTGAAAAAAGGTATCTTCTAAAAAATAGAATGACATGTGAACGTAACGTGTATTATTTAATATTTTCGAGTATTTTTCAAGCATGTATCCTTTTTATTCTTTTTTTTTCATACTTTCATCTACGAATTTTTTTAGATTAACAAAAAAAAACTGAGAAATAATTGTCAAACTAAAACTCAAAATTGAGCTGTGATCGTTAAGGTCAAAATCTAATTGGTGAATTTAATTATACCCTATCATTGTATGATATCATTTTCAGACGATTAGGGTCATGAACATCCATTATAATATACTCCGTTCTGTCAAATTTACAATTGAGTGATCAAATCTGATTTCTCGACATTTCTCCGTGTCAAAACTGAAGAGATATAAAAAATGTTTGGGATCTTTTGGGAAAAAAAAGAAATCTCTATTAATATTTTTTTTTTTGGATTTTAATAAATGTATATGCACAGTTATGAAAACACTGTTTGTTGTATTGGCATTTAGAAATAATTTTTTTCGGTGCGAGTAACAAGTTTTAAAATAGTCGCATCCCAAAAATTCTTGACTGACTTAGTACATCAAATTCATTAGTTTCTCAATCATTTTTACATGATAACCTGCAAACTTTTTCTCATAGTCCATTCAATTCTAGTTTCCTCGATATCGCAGTGTGTCCATTTCCCCACTCGTCTTCTTCACTACCCCCGTAGTCCCAGTGCATTTTCTTATTGTTACTTCTGCACCCTTCCCTAAGAAGGGTCGTAAACCGATCAGCACCACAGTCTCAGTTCTCAAATGGCTCGGTGTTCTCACAATCGTAGAGCTGTTAATCCAAAATTGGGAATGGGCGTGACAGGATGACGGAGAAGGCGTCCGAACTCCGCCCAGCTGTGTTTCGACGGTCTGTGTGGAATTGTTGTTTAGTCATTCCAATCTAAAAGTCTATTACCCGACCAAGTAGATCTGTTTCTCTCTTATTCATTTATTTCTTGTCTGCCTTGTGACTTTGACGAAAAATGAATCCCTACGCTAACTACCCAAACCAGCCGGATGCACTATATTCAACCCATCCCCAGCCCAATCCTCCTCTTCACCAGAATCAAATGAATATGCCATGGAATAACTTATTCGCCCAGCCTTTCAACCAACCACCAGGAAGCTTCCAATCAGAGACTCATTTACAAGGACAGAATTTCCAGCCCCAACCGATGCAACATCAGAAGCAAAACCAACCAATAAACATGGGACAGGCTGGAACAAATGGTCAAGAAAATCATCCAGCATGGACCGAACAACCAAAAACATCAACTGATAATTTTTCAAACGGGATTCAAGTTGAGCAGCAGCAATTTGTCAATCAGCCTCCACCTGCACAGCAACTGCATCCCGCACACTTTCATCAAAACATGCAATTTCCACAACCTCCCCAATTGCAGAATAATAATTTCAATCAGCTGGGACAGAATGGAATGTAAGTTTTCTAGCGGTTTTTTCTTTGGCTAATTTCAAACTCGATTCTTTTTTTCAGCGATACCATTCTACCACAAGTTCAGCAGCAACAGAAATACCCAGAAGCTCCACCTGCACTTGGACCGTCATCTCATGAACAGTTTGCTCCGTCACAACAGCAGCCCCATCACCATCAGCACATGGGCCATGGAGCAGCGTAAACTCACTTTCAATCCAAACTGAAGATTTAAAGATCTTAATTTCAGCGCGCAAAATTTTCCCAAAGCTCACGAAACACCACAAAACCCTATGTGGAGTCACCAATCATCTTCCCAAGCGTCATCTAATGGGCAAGGTGTCCCAGAACAACCACAAGGGCCACCGAAACATCATCAATACAACCAAATGGAGCAAACTGCAATAACGTAAGTAGCTTGTTCTAGAAATGAGTCTCAAAAAACAAATAAATTTTTTTTTCAGTGCTCAAGCCCTACCGAATCAAAATCAACATCATCCGTGGCCTGCACAAGGTGTCTTTCCTGGATCTCATATTCCTGCTCAGCAACAGCCAGTTTCTCAACAGCAGCACATACAGCAACAGCAACATCAACACCACGTCGGGCAATTCAGGATGTAAGTTTTGTAGTATAATCCTAAGGTTTTGATATTTTTCAATCAAATAATTTTCCCTTTTGTAGTTTTCATATTAGTTGGAAAATTTTGGAGAGTGAAAAAAGCTTCATCTTTGAAAATGTATTTTTTCGTAAAGGTTTGTAATGTAGAAAAAGAAAATACTTTTTTTCTGTACTAAAGTTTTGAAATGAGTATCAATGCGCTCAAAAAAAGTTACAGTATTTGACCTGATAGAACCCTGCCCAAACCATCAACTTTTTCTTAAATATCTCAAGTCCTGAGAGACATATCGAAAAATTATCAACTGGTGAAATATTTATCATGATATCACCACACTTTTATGAGATATTTGATTCCAATGTTGATGGTTTGGGCGAGTTTCAATTGGAAGAAATACGGTACGCGAATAGAGAAGCCAGTAACAGGTTAGATATTTGAAGCTGTTTTTTTCTTAAATTAACAACACTCCTTTTGGACAAACATATTTTTTGGTGGTACTGTAATTTTTATGATTTTCAGCCCGCACTCCATTATTTTGAATGCTGTGAACACTCTTTGTTTTGTAAACGACCTTTTTTTGATTTTACACAAACCATAAGTTTATATAATTTTTTTTCAGTCCTCCAGCTCACTCTCAACCACGGCCACTACAGAAAACCCAACAAAAACCCCAACTGCAGCAACCACATGTGCAGCAGCAAAATCCGAATCAGATGCCACAAACTGCAATAAAGTAAGTTTCAAAATCGTTCGGATCAAAGCTTCTTTTGTTTACCTAAATCCATAATCCACAACAAAAATTGAATTTTCAGTGCTCCATTTCCACTACAGTATCCCGCATGGCCGTGGCCAATGTTGCCACCTCCAATGTTGCCACCTTCAGTACCTTTTGGACCTTTCATGCCTCCACCATACTTCTATGGCTACCCATATGGTTGGCCTGCTCCTCCCACCAACATGTCTGCATCAAACATGTTTCAAACTAGAGGAGGTTGTAGGAAATTCACAGATAAACAATACGCTGCACTGAAAAAAAGATTCAGCAAAAGTAAGGAAATTACGGATGAGGAATGCGCAGAACTTGGATATAAAATAAACCTCGGTATGGTGCAAATCAAAAAATGGTTTTTACGCAACAAGGAGAGAGCAGAATCAATTGCGGCTAAAAATCGGGTCGAAAAAGATCACGATGATACGTTAACGGAGTGAACGGGATTTCAACACTGATTTTGTTAGCTTCTTTTATTGTCTAAATTTGTTTTTTATATTTTTTACATATTTTAGGCATTCATTTTCTATTCGAAATTTAGTGAAAATAAACATTTTTCGCAAATCTCTGTTACAAACTTTTTTTCCCGAATTTTTTTTTCGGAAAATCGGATATCCGAAACTTTTACACTGGGAGTCGGATATCCGACTTTTTTCGATTTTTTCCAATTTTTTTTTCGAAAAACTTATTTAATTTTCTTGTCACTGACAATTAAAAGTTGAGAAACAGCGAAAATCAACAAAATATCGCCGATTTGCCTTGAACGTCCGATATTTTCTATAAATCTTTTTTTTCGGGAAAAAAAGTCGGAAATGTTTTTCCGAAACAAAATTCGGAAAATTTCCCAACGGGAACTATTATCCGATTTTTTTTCGGAAAATTTTGCGACGGAAAATTTTTTCCGACTTTTTTTCAGAATATTTTTTTCGTCGGGGAATTTTCCCAAAAAATGTCGGAAAAATCGGGAAATCGGATTACCCGTTTTCCAACTCCGAGCAAGCCTGGTAAAGATGAAGATAGAAACATGAAATTGGGTCAGCTGCGGAACTAGGTCAAATGATACCTCTAACTATGTCAAAACTGGAATTTTGTCGGTTCTGATGGTAGAGGTACCAAATTGGAAGGTTGGAAAGAGCAATTCGTATAAAATTGAAATTGGGTCATCAGGCGACATTAACTAGGTCAGGTCTGTATTTTTGTTGGTGTTATAGGTAGAGGTCCCCAGTTAGGTGAGTATGATCCTTAAGGGGTGAGAATTTCGGATTGGGCCACAGTTTTCAAAAAATAGGTCACAGGAGTTTTTTTTTCTCTGTAGAGTTGGAGATATCATATTTTGTAAACGGAATACCTGAAGAATGGGGATTTGAAATTACCAGTGCAAAATGTTAGGCGACAGACACATCAAACTCACCCTTGTTCCGAATGTTGACTTTTGGCATTAGATAGCCAGAATTGTATCGAATCTACAAAAGCATTTAGTTGTTTCAAACCATCTATTGTAAGAAAATTTTAGGAACTCACTATCAAGTTCGAATTGAAATTTGTTCAAAGTGATAACATCGGTGGTATAGAGAAGATTTGCCATTCTGAAATAAAAATACTAACGTTTGAGAATCATAAGTTAGATTTTCTTTTAAACTTATAACTTATGGCCAAAATATACACTTGTAGCTTCCTTAAACTGTGTGACAATCCTTTCAACTGAAAAAAAATTTTGGAAATGAAAATTCTAAGAGAAATTTGTAAAATATACGTTTGACTGTTTTTTGGAATCCGTTGACTAATGAGGAGATGTGACTTCCCTGTAGAGCTGCTGAAATCCTGATGTGTACTTCTGAAATAAAAGAGTCCAAAATACCAAAACACGAGTCCAGACAACACAAACAGAAAAAGTCTATTCAAAAAAAAAACGAAAACCCTCCAAAAAAAGTGGGGATCCAAAAAGTCGACTGTCGTTAAATATCCCGAATGAATCAAATGAGTCAAAAAAATTTTTAGCGGTCTATTCAAAAACTAAGAAAGCTGAAAAAACAAAAACGGTGTCATTTCTAAAAACACGGAAAACTAAGCTCATATATTTTGGAAAATATTGAGTTTGAAGAGATTTATCAGAAGACTTCAAAATTGGAACTTTCGAAGTTTAAAAATAATTCAAATTAGAGGAACATTGAAACATTGAAACTTTAATAATTAGATTTTCCTTATACTTTCTAATTTTTGAGCTCCAGAATTTCATCAATAATTTAAGAATTCCAGATTTGATGATTTGAAATATTAAATTCACAAACTTGCAAATTCAGAAGTTCACGTATTCATAAACTTGAAAATTCAAAAATTTTGAAACTCAAATATTCTAAAGTTATGAAATTCTTGATTCCAGACCTTGCTGAATTTTATAAATTCGGAACAATCAGAATTTCTAGATCTTAAAAATGAGAAAAATTTAAAAACTCTCGTTTTTAAAATTCTGTAATTTCAATTTTTTTATCTTAAAAAATTGAAAAAAAACAACGCTAAAAAGTTATTAGAAAAATTATTTACAAATTCCAAATTTAAAAATTATGTTATATACTTTTTAAAAAAAAAATCGGAATAGTCTCCCGTTCCAGAACTCAAAATTTAGAAAACATTTAAAAAATTCTATTCTTAAATTTTAAAATTATTTTTTATTTTACATTTTTTAAATAAATTTAATTTTGAAATTAAACCTTTTTGATTTAGAAAAAGTTTACGTTTAAAATTCAAATTCAAATCATCAAATCTGGAATTCTTAAATTATTGATGAAATTCTGGAGCTCAAAAATTAGAAAGTATAAGGAAAATCTAATTATTAAAGTTTCAATATTTCAATGTTCCTCTAATTTGAATTTTTTTTAAACTTCGAAAGTTCCAATTTTGAAGTCTTCTGATAAAGCGAAATCTCTTCAAAGTCAATATTTTCCAAAATATATGAGCTTAGTTTTCCTTGTTTTTAGAAATGACACCTTTTTGTTTTTTCAACTTTCTTAGTTTTTGAATAGACCGCTGAAAAATTTTTGACTCATTTGATTCATCTGTGTAGCTTCCTTAAACTGTGTGACAATCCATTCAACTGAAAAAAAAAATTTTGGAAATGAAAGTTCTAAGAGAAATTTGTAAAATATACGTTTGACTGTTTTTTGGAATCCGTTGACTAATGAGAAGATGTGACTTCCCTGTAGAGCTACTGAAATCCTGATGTGTACTTCTGAAATAAAAGAGTCCAAAATACCAAAACACGAGTCCAGACAACACAAACAGAAAAAGTCCATTCAAAAAAAAAAACGAAAACCCTCCAACAAAAGTGGGGATCCAAAAAGTCGACTGTCGTTAAATATCCAATTGAAATCAGAACCCTAACACATGAAGATTGCAATGAAAGCGTAAAAAACATTAAATTAATTGGGAGACACATGTAAAAGAAGCGTGCAGTCCGTCGTGGTAAACTGAAGATCCCGACAAGTCGAAAAACACCAAAATATCCGCCTAGACCTAATCGGAGCCCTAACCCTAGTCCAACAGACTTCCACAATCCCAGACACCAATTAAGCACCCACTTGCTCTTGGCTGGATGTGGAACACAGAATTATGATTTCATTCAGACTATATCTGAAAAAATCACATGCTCATGGAATTAAAATGGCGTCATCTTCTCATCATGCTAAATAGCAAGCGGACTGACAACCGAAGGCATCGTTTCGCATACCACATTATCAGTCAAATTGAAGATATGAAGGAAAAACCTCAATTATTTTGTGAATAGATGTTCCTACGGTCACCTAATCCTAGTTTTTTCCATACTTGTGGAAAAGATGGCCGGCCCGCGGGCCGGGCCGAGGATTTTCTGAAAGCGGGCCGGGCCGGAAAAAATTACACATGGCCGGCCCGCTTTTTGAAAATTTTGAAATTTTAGAGCGAATCATCATTTTTCAAGATGGCTTTTCTCCTTAATAAATAAAAATCCACACTAGAGGACGATTCTGTCAAAAAAAACTGTTTTGAGGTCGTTTTTAGAAAAAAATTTCATCATTGGCTTAAAGGGGGACTCCGACCAGAAATTTTTATTGCATTAAAATGTGTTAAAATTTATATATTTTTCAAATGATTATTGCGAAAAAATTCAAAGAAAATCCGAAATCCCCGAAAAACGGCGCAGAAAAGGAAGAAAATTCAAAAAAAGGTGCCTCCGGGGGACGAGGATTTCCAGTGAGAAACCTAGACCACGGCAGCGGGCGCCTTTCCTATGTGGCAAATTTTCCGGATTTTTTTTCAATTTCATGTCCGGCAGGTAAAAAACGTAAAAAACCACTGTCGGCGACTTGACAAAAGGCTG